CGAGAGATTCTCCTAGAAGCCTTACACAGAGGAACGCCATTTTTCACTTTATTTCAGTCCTGACGCGCAATTCCTAGCATTAAATAAATAATTGTACCTACAATCATTATTAATGAATTCTGAGAAGCAGATCCAAAAGAGTTTTGGTTCAAAAAATTTTTTAAGTATTGAAAAATACTAAGAAATATTTATCTATTGTATTTCTATTATATTCTTTTTTCGTCTTGTGACCGAATAGAATAATAATACTCGTATTGCATTCTACAAGCTTTTAATTCAAGATTCTCTGATATTTGGTGATACTTTGGTTCCACAAAAACGAACATTTTAAACCGAAACAGAATTGGAAAACTGCATTCCATACCTTTGCAGCAACTGCACTGCCATTCATTATCGCACTAGTATTTAACCTTAATGCAATAAGACGTTGCTCCATAAATTCCCTACTTGTCTGGCCTAAAAGAGCGATATGATACGAACTCAGGTTCTAAACTCGATGCGGGGAATTTTTTTTGAGCCCTGAGGTAGCGGCGCCATTGCTCTCTCTCTCTCTCTTTCTCTCTCTGAACCGGTATTCTCTTCTGGGCAGTATTTTAGTCGCTCTATGCCCATGGTGTACCCAGCGCCTAAGTCCCATGGGGGGAGTTACCTGCATCAACGACGAGAGAGCCGCGGTGCGAGATGCCTTGAGGGCACTTTTGCCACTCTTCGTGTTCTCGTGCCACGCTCTCGTGGTTCAACAATGGATCAGCATGAGAGATACCGCAGACTGGGTCCATAAGGACGCGGATATAAGCTCTATCTGCCGTTCTCTTGAAACAAAGCATCCAATCGATGCACTCGATTCGTCCCGTCGCTAAAAATATGAAATTTTGCGAGCTACTTATTGTTAGACTGAAAAATAGATTATTGTATTATGTAATGAATATTCTCCATCGCACACCGTTTCTCTTTCGTAAATCTTTCCGAAAAGTTGCCATATATGTATCTTATAAATATTTAAAAAGTCATATTTTTGCAAACAGGTATAAAATAAAATGTTTACAACTAAACGTTTTAAATTAATTGGTGCTGCTTAAAATCGAAAAAGAAATCAGACAATGTACAGCGTATTCATCGTTGAAGTATTATAGTGATTATAGCTTCTCAAGTTTTACGGACGACTTCTCAATTTTCATCATTTGAACATTTGATATAAAATGATATCGAAGAACTCGATAATTTGCAATTCCTTTCAGTTGGTCGCCAACCTTTTTCAAAGCCCTAGAGAGGTGCGATCGTGTTGCTTTTATTTTATTCGTGCACGCGAAATTCCGCGCGGTTGTAATCGAAATACGGAGAGTCTAACGTTCCTTTGTAGAGTTTCACAAAACAAAATAAGATTGGTCCATAAATCGAAACCAGGATTCCTTTCCTGACAGATAGTAAAAATGTTTCTTCCCTTCGCGGCGCACGCCATCGTCGGGACTAGATTCTTTCAATATATCATATATCCACAATAGTGTCAAAGAAGCCAACGATGCTCTAACCTTCTCGCGGTACATTTTTAAAGGCGACAATTGACTTCATTAGTTACCGAAGTTTTGAGCTATTGTTATTAGAATTGCCCGATCACTTTGTGTGAGAGCGTAGTCAATCGATACTAAACAAGCCTAAGGATAGTGAAACCACCTGAAGGGAACAATGGCCATCGGGTTAGTGGCTGGCGCCATCACCATCTTTTATCGTTAAAATTAATGACGGCAAACTTTTGCAACGTTTACAAAGCTGAACGCGTCATTTTGGCCAACTTTTATCCTTACTTTTTGTAAGTGTTACAAAAATATTATAGCGTATGTGTACAATTACCGTAAACGAAGCTTGTGTGTAATATATTCTCTTTTATAAATTACAATTAATATAATTTATATTAATACGTTTCGTTACTCCATTTCGATATTTCATTCTTTTCGTTACTACTTCTTTCACATTATATCACGCATGATCTTTGTGGCGTATGAAGCACGTATGTTTAATCAACCAGGTACCGTTTCAACAGAAATCCCTCGGCGTTGTTAAACAACGGGCAAAGTAGTTCCTCGAAAGAGTTCCGTAAGAAAAGTATGCGTGGAAGCAAGAATTCAGGTATAAACGAACGGATGCATGATCACGACGTAGGGAGCAAGACGAAATGGATAATGCCGAGAATGTGTGAAAGAGGAAAACAAGTAGCTAAATTTAGGTCCACGCACTCTCGTAACCACCTGTTGATTTCGGCAAGGACGCAAGATCGCCCTTGCATAATTTTACTTATATACAAATATACACATAATAAATCTTTATAGGAAACTCGCATCAAGCACGGGGCATTCAATTTTTTTTTTATGTTATACGAAACGTTACATGCACCTTTCTAAAATCGGATAAAAAGAATGTGATATAATAAATTGGGTTTAAAAATGAAACGTTCACAAAGTATCAAATATTGTAGCAAATATTCCATCATTTTTCTATCGTTATATTTTATGAAAATCAGAATTTATATATACAGAAGTTATACTTTGATTTTAATTTGTATTAATATTTGTTTGTAATAGAAAAGCATTCAGAGATGACGACAAAAAAACATACCGATTTTACTAAGCCTATAAAATTTTAGAATTACAGTCCGCTGATATTTTATCGATCGCAGGTATTTTACCTTCACAGTAGGGAGTAACTATGATCCTTTAACGATGCTTTAACTTTCGATACACCTCTAAAGGAAAAATTCGGCTTTTCAGGTATCCAAATTTTCTATCGTTGTTCCTGCATAGCTAGGCGTCTAGATGTGTCTGCGAGAATAGATTTTATGTGGTCTGTCGGTGCTAAACAATATCTCACGGATAGTCAAACCACTTGAAGGGACAATAGACGAGAGCTGTCCCGCAAACATAAGGCGCCGAGGGTAAATCCAGAGACGGCTAGCCTGGAAGACCGCTCCAGGTTACAAAGCTATCGAAAGGGGATAGTCAGGCACCTGCTGAACACCAGCATCCCTTGAGAACCGAAATCTCTGTCCGTATCGTGGCTAGAGATTGTATCTGGTTGACCTGAGCTTAAATTAGCACGATTCTGATCGGGCACGTCATTTTATCTTATATAAGAAATATAATATTACGAAATACAATAGAGATGAAGGAAAATGTAGTAATAACGCATTAGAAATTATTTGTTGAAACTACTCGAATGCTTTGATTATATTTTCATGTTATTTGTTTATTCCAGTATATACTATATATATTTTCATAGCAGCATGTGATAATGGGATACCTGTGTCGTTCCTAGCATGTTAATTGACTATCAAGTACGTGATAATCACAGAAATCTATTGCATAAGGAAATACAGTTATAAATGTAGCACTAATTTCTCCTTTACTGTTACTTTCTATTAAGCGACGTAATTAAAAAATCTAAACGCGTTATTAATCTTCCTTTACGTTATATTGCAACCTAAAGCACCACTTGAATGGCCTATCAAATGTGTAATTTGCTGAACATAATTGTCAGCGTTTCTTTAGCTAATTTCATAAAGGGGCTGAAGAAATCGATAAATGCGTTGCACATTTGCTCTTTCGTGGAATATCTCTCGACAAGAACATATTTACGATAAAACAAGCGTGCATATCGTGAAAAGGGCAAACGGTCGTTGTACGCTTCGTGTTGCTGCAATTTTTGAGATGCAACGACGAGAGTTCCTTCCTCGAAGCAACTTCGCGGGAATGGATTCTTCTTGGAAACCGAACACGATGTATTTTCACGCCTGTCTAACATGGCTTTTACGTAACTCGATTACAGATTCTTGCCAGTCCTCCTCTCGGTACATACATCCGATTAGATACACACTGAAACTATGATATAGTACTTTACAGCTCATTATTTCTATTCTAATTATTGCCCCAAACATTTTCGACATTACGTAAAGGTAATGAAAATTAGATGTACGTTGTACTTATTATCAAAGTAAGATATTTTCTTTATTTCTAGCTGTATATATTATCAGAAATAGAAATAGTGCTCAGTCGAGTTAGCCGCTTCTCGTGTGCTCTTATTTCATGCCATTTATTATATCTAGAGTCTAGACACAATTAATAAGAAATATGTAAATTGCGTTTATTATGCCATCATATTATTTTAGAAACAAATACACAGCGATATGTACAAATCAATTGCCGCTTAAACAATATTTTGCAGTTTATAATTGTCAGGGATAATTTTGTCAAATAATTTTTGATGCCTGGAATTATATGTTCCACAGTACATTTTAAAAAGTGTAAAATGACTAAGACGCGCAAAATAGGTTGTCATCTTATTTTTTATAAAAGCCAACTCGATTAATTTAATATTACTGGGAACATATTCGGAACCGCTCATCATCAAATTAAACACTTCTTCGCAGGAACAGCATCTACACCCCCGACCTTTCCATCCCCGCGGCATCTTCAGATTCTCTCCCGTATCTTCTCCACGAGCAGAACATATGCTTTTCTTCTTTTTTTGGTCCAGATGCATCGCACGCAACCCCTCAGGTGTGTGGTGCTCGATTTGGTCTTCTGTGCGATATCGCACGAACGTACGAATGTATCCTACACCTACTACTGCAAGTCAGAAGCTTTGGCGCGACCAGTGTGCGTGTACGTATGTGTGTATACCTGCGTGTTGTATGTACCTGGCTAGAAGAGCAAAGTAGGAAGGGGGGGACGAACGTTCTACGAGGTAAGACGAAGAGATGGAGGAGGTGCGAGAAGGAGGATGGTGGGAAGCTGGACGGAGGCGAAGGTGTGCGAGGCAGGGAAGTTAAGAGCTTGTCTTCTGCTTTGCGGCGTTTCAGAGGAGCGGCGCGGTGGGGCGAGAGGACCAAAGAGGCCCGACGGCGGCAAAGGAGAAGGTGCTCGGCCCTGCCGTGCCCCGCTGCGCGGATGATGATGACGACGGTGGTGGTAACCGGTGGTGGTGGTAGTAGTAGAAGGTGGAAAGGGCGAGAGAAGGAGAGACGGAGAAGACGAAGCGCAGGAGAGGCGAAGAGAGAGTCCTGCTCAGCGTGGACCTGTGCGTCGTTGCATGGCCGACCTGGAGACTCGCTCTCCGCAAGGTGAGACGCGCGGACCAAAGAGGAGGCCTCGAAGGATCGACAGGAATTCTCGTGAAAGCTGACTCTTCCTCTTTCGCATGCTTCGCGATCGCGCGCGCCCGTGTTCTCCTCCGGCCGTCCCTGTCATTCCTCTTTATCCGACGTTGACTCCAACTTCTCTCTTCGTGTACCAACGAGTGAGTGATTTATACTTTTTACCGCGAGGAATCTCCTAACTTTCCACAAAGTGTTCTCGATGCAGTTCCGCCACGGAAGTGAGTCCAGATCGTTATTTATCGGTGAAAACCCCCCATCGTTCTTGCACTGAACAGAATTAAACGCGCGTGCTCATCCTCAAATTCGTTGGAGTTTCCATGGAGTGAATGAAGTACCTTGGATTAGAATAAATCAAACTCTCAAGTAAGCTCGTCGTTGGACATCTTCGTGGAAGCGACGTAAAATGCAAAGTCAACACGTTCGACCGTGATAACGTGTGCATACGTTAGAGTGTAGCTTCTCTTATCAAGCGCATGAAACCGATCTCTCGTACACCCGTGATTTTATGCGCGCGTATCCGTCAAGAGAAGTCTACTTCTTCACATCAAGACGCCTGACAACTACGATCGGCGAACCGTGTCAGTCGCCTCGTGTCACGTAGGATTTCTAAATCGATGCATCTTTTGGTGCTGTCTCGCCAAGTTTCGCTGCTCTGCGGAAGGTGAACAGTGTGTGTTTCCTCGGTGGCGTTAAAGTATATATTCGAATACCTGGTGCGCGTAAGTGTGTGCACATCGCTAGCTCAGAAGACTCGTCGCGAAAGTAAACGTTGGAATTTCCTTTCGGAGTCTCTGCCAAGACAATCACGTACGTTTCGTCTTGGATTTATCTCGCAGCCCACATGAATGTTAAACTAAGGTGAGTGAGACGCACGCTTTTACACTATGAATTTGCGGAACCGCGCCGTCGATATCATCTGCCATCTTTACGCGCCAAATTGCGACGAGTGTGGAGTGTTTACATTCGTAATGTGATTTTGCTGCTGCAGTGACCAATAACATCGGCTCGCGTATGAAACTATCTCTCGCACATGTCTGACATGTTTTCACTGCAAATGATAAAATATTTAAACATGAAAATTTCTATTCCTATTATAATTTAATCGAGGGGGAAACCGCTGAGGGCATTGTGGTGTACAGATTTGCGGCATTACCGGGCATTACTAGGGCATTTTTGGGGCATTACGTCTTGCTGAGGCATTATAAAGATAAAATAAGATAAAGTAAGATACAATAACATAAAACAAGATAAATAAGATAAAAGAAGATAATAAGATAAAGTAATGCCCACTGGGCATTAGTGTACAAGATTTTGGTCAGCGGTTTCCCCCTCGAATTTAATGCTAAACATAACCGTGTTCTTCTCGCAATATTTTGGTTATCAAACCTTTTCTTCTTAAACAAATAGAATAGCACCTGCTCTTACATTTAAAAAATAAATCGCATTCACTATCCCTTTCTAAATCTAATAACGTAATAAAAACACGTTATAGTGAAATATTATGAAGTGATACGCTATAACGGTCTTTTTCCCACAAAAATACTTGTGTCCCTAACAAATGAGAATTCTTTCTCGAAATCTCAGTTTGAGAGGTCCGTAAAGATTAGATGAAAATAGTTTCTTGACTGCACAATGCCGACGAAGATTTTTCATGAAGATTCTTAGAATTCATTTTCCCTTGGTAAATTACTGAAAATTGGGGAGACAGAGAAACAAAGATTAGGAAGAGCTGAAAGATTAGCTAAACTAAGATTAAAGTTTAGCGACGTTTCAGAAATCGGACCTAAAAGATATCACGTAGCATTCTTCGAGCTGTTAGATAAAAAACGACACTTTTACAAAGTATAACAAGGAGGACCATTAGATTTAATATCTGTATCTGATAGACAAACATGTACATGTGTAATGTACATTAGACAATTATTTTATTAACATAAATCTATATGTTTATAATTATAAAATATTCCCTTTATTGAAAATATAACTTATTTGTTTATTTAAAGTTAGACAAGTTGGTATTGTTAAAACATGTTAGTAATTTATATAAACATAATTTTTTTATCGACAGATTTATTCGTTACATAAGTACGTAAATTTCACGTGTTCCGCATGTAATGTGTTTTTCACAATTCAAAGATGAGATAATTGCAGTAAACTCCATTTTTTATACATATATCTATAGAGTTACAAAAGCTATTTTCAACTCCCCGAGCTAGTGTGTGTGTGTGTGTGTATTTATGTTACGATATATACGTAAATAAGTTCGTACAAAGTAGACTTTTATTAATTTATTCCGTATATTCTAAATTATTTAGCATACATATGTAGCTGAATAAATTTCTCGCGCGTATAGGGTGTTATTAAACTCAAGTTAACTAGTTTCACTAATGTTTCCTGCGTCGCTGACATTTAATAAAGTAGCTTTATTGTCAACACGCATTAATAATCGTAAATCATCAGTATATTTTGAATACAAAAATTCTTAGGTTATATAGTGAGTGTATAAATGTTTTTCGTTGCAAACTTCGATTAAATAATTAAATTAAATAAGAAAATCTGTGAGTTACTGAAAGTGTCATCTCTAAAAACTTCAAATTCACGCTCGAGTCGTTAGAAATTAGTATCGAATCGCTACATATTTTGCCAAATATATTAATAAATAAACTATTAATGTATAACATGTAGTGGCATAGAAAATCTATATACTATATATCCAGAAGTATATCAAACATGCGACGAAGAATAACCACTTCATCGCATTAAGTGAGATTTTTGACTTTTGTAAAGATAGTCACCATTTTTCCAATGGTCTCTTCAAGCCCTTTGAACCTGATTTTTGATAGATGATTACCGACAATGAGAAGAGTTTCCGAGAGCGATTCTAGGCAAACTTTCAAGCGTATATGTGGTGTTTGTATTATAGATACGCGACTGGGATATCTCTCTCTCTCTCTCTCTCTCTCTCTCTCTCTCTCTCTCTCTCTGCAACTTTTGAAAATGAAAGTTCACGCGGGGCCTGCGAGCACGAGGAACATACGAGTCTGGAATTTCTTCCTCAGGGCCCCACGGAACCTCCATGCCTAACGTTCGCAGGATCGTTAGTATCCGCCGGAGAGTTGAACGCTGGGGTAAGAAGTTGCGTTGGCGGCAGACGCCTGTTTGGAAAACATCGACTGGCGAGCATGTGACATCTGCTAGCGCGCACCATTAGGTGTCTTTCAAGTCTCTTCGTTGGCCTGCTTCTCTATCGCGAGAGACTTTTCTTTTTTTTTCCCCCCTTCAACACGCTTTCCAGCTGATCGACGTCAAAAGCCGGCTCGTCAGGCTGATTTGAGCAACGCGTTTTTCACGATCGTCTCGACACACCTTTGGAGAAATACACCTGAATCGAACATACGAAAGTAGAGCGGAAGAAATATTGTGTAGGCGAAAAAGAACGCATAAGATTTACATATGAAAATAATTTAACTGTGTCAATATGTGCTCATTAATTTTACTAATGGCATTTAACATATATCAAGTTATAACGAATCTATATGTAACATTTTTTTTCTTTTATCCTCCTAAAGTTTATTTGGTAAAAAATTGGTCGCATATTATATCTATGCACATATTTGTTTTTAATTATCTTGAAATTAAATTGATCTAAGCCGCGAGGCAGGAACAAGAACGAAATTTTATAATTGCAAATTCTATTCTATTTTGCGCATATTATCAACATTTACTTAATTTATTGATTAATGGCATCGATTGTTGATAGTGCAGGCCTTTCTAATTAACTTCCTCGTTTCGGCCGAGCGAAAGTGCAACGATCGCAACAGCGTGCGCAACGTTTATTATAACAATGACGTCTCCTAGTTTGCCGTGCCGCGGCGTGGACGTACATACACCACTTTTGGGATGTTGTCCTATAGTTATGCGTACATATGTATGCGCTGGTTCAGCCCCGCGGAACCCGCTCAGCGTTCCTGCGCGACTCACTCGAAAAATGTATTCCAGTTCTTCTAGAAACACGCCTACTTTAGAACAGAGATAAGCATTAATTCTTATGAGAGGCGCCGGCCTATTTTGAAAGTACGAAAAGAGTATGAATGTCATTGGAATTCTATTAATCTCATTAAAATGTGCCCGGAAAACTGCTTAGGGCGACCGTTGCCATATGCTTTCTCCCTTTGGGATTAAGTTAGTTGAGATTAACAATTACTTTGGCGCCACCGAATTAATGCCGAAGACCTGACTGCGTCATTGATTATACACTAAACACAATTCTGGACTCGCAATGTAGTCTGTATTTGAATCTCGCTCGCAATGTATTTTGAATACCGCTCAGGTCACTGACTTAAGTCAGTTCTCGAAAATCATTTTCTATATATATATATATATATATATATATTCTTTTTCTTTACTACTATTTACGGAGCATTTTAAACCTGTTATCAACTTAATCAAAAACTAAACATAATAATAACCGTGTCTAAAACATTGATCATCTTTATATTAAGTGAAATATTTAAGACTAAATTCTCATTTCACGCGTATAATTTGTCATGGTTTTTGACACACAATATTATCAATATGAACGTATACAATATGCAAAGAAATATGTTTGAATTTATGAAAACAAAAGCAAGATAGTTTACTTGTACAATTGTTATAATTATCTTAAGAGAAAAAAACCTGGCGCTCTTTAATCTCAAGAGTAATTACATACAATAATGCGCTTATTGCGTTGCTTGCGTAGTGTTCGATATACAAATTTATCGATTGGACGCAGGTGCAAATAACTTATATAAGATCTTCACACGTTCCTTCCCGACGTTCTTCTATCGTTTCTAATTATCGGCGCAATAAGATGATAGCCGTCGGCATTAACAAATGCTATTCACGAACTTCTCGAACGAAAACAATTCGTACCAGAGATAAATATCTTGCGCAATGCATGACTCTCGACCGACTTCGATCCAGCGACCTCGTGCAATTTGTCACTCCGACCGGTTCGAACAAATGTCAACCGTATAGGCATAAAATACTATCGTGCACGCGAACGCCGACCAATCCAGTTTAAATACTGCGACTTATCTCGCAATGACACGTGACACACTCTGTAATGAGTATCGAGGTGCCTCCGGGCGATGCGATGTTAATCTGATGTTATAATATGTGCCGATCAATTTGAGGGTTCGAATTGATTCAATGTACACAAGCATAGTTATTATTTTAATATAAACTAATATATTTTCGAACAATTAATAAATTCATAAGGCTCTGATGTGAAATCACAGTCGAAGGAATAAGAGCCAAGACAGGATGTTAAATGTCTAAATAATTTTAATTTTAAAATTTATTGCGGCAAATATTACATCAGCCAGGATTTGAACCTGGGCCACCCTCTCACTTAGGCGGGCGTCTCGACCAATTCGACCGCCGAGACATGTTTTAATATATTTCTGTGTGCTAAGGTGCATTATAAAAATCTTAAAGGACAAATGTAAATTTAAAAGTATGACTTTTCGAGTACAGAAAATATGGAATAGATCGTCGAAGCTCTTTGTGTTATTCTTAGATACGTATTACAATATCGAGAGCGTGACTCTTGAAGCATCCCTGAATGTCCTTGCGGACGGTTGACCGTGAATTCTTTCTCCAGAGGAGTTCCGTGAAGGTCCGCATAGACCTTTATAACCCATCTTAGTTAGAGGGTATTGACGCCAGACCGGTGTTTTTCTATATCGTCTATCCCACCTGCTTCGATGTAGCTCGAGAAATAGATCGCTAGGAAGCTAGTAAACTAGGAAAAGAATATACCGACGGCCACACGGATACGCATTTTACGCGTGTCTTCTCAATAAAAGTTCAGG